AGCCCTGCTTTTTTTAAAATCCGAAACCCCCCCCCCCAAAAAAAAACCCAGCAAGGAATGTTTCTAAATTGTTTGCTCTGAAAGTGTTAATGGGTTACCAGTGTGTAATGCAAAGCTTCCTAAAGGGGCAAAAACACACGTACAGCACGGAAATCCTTGGGGGAATTTTAGCCAAATTTGCAAGTGGTCCTTTACTTAATATGTTGAAGTTTGTATCTAAAGAGGGCTAAAACTAAGACTATAAACCAACAGGTGAGGTTTTCACCTGCGTATCGGAGCAAGACATCGACTTCAACAAATTCTTAATCATGGTCAGTTCGCCGGAAAAAGGAGCAGACGACGCGAATGAAAACAATTTCCCAGGAGCAGACAACTCAACGTCTGCAGCTAACACCACCACCACAGTGGCAGACGTGGAAACGGAGGAAATGGATTTGGAAGCAAAAGAGTTCCACAAAAGAGTTTGCAGGTTGGTTCTAACGCAGTCGAACCTGATTTAACGGGTAGCCTACTTGTGTAAGACAAGGCTGCGTCTATTCAGACACGTGTCCGTTTAACACTATCCGTACGCCCTGGGTGGGGTCATTTTGTACCCCTTGGGTTGTATTCTTCACATTTTAGAATACTTCTAGTACGAAGATCTCTTTGAAACTTCCAGTATTTCTCAAAAAACCATTTTGACAGACTGCTATGCAAAGCCTACGGATCGGATTAACGAGTAAATTTCCTCTTTGGAAAGTGGAGGCACAGAGTTCCCCACGTCGTATGGATACGATAGTAAACTACGGCGTACGGATAGGGTTAAGTGGAGGCACAGAGTTTCCCACGTTGTATGGATACAATTGTAAAACATGACGTACGGATAGGGTTAAGTGGTGGCACAGAGCTCCCCACGTCGTATGGATACGATTGTAAAACATGCCGTACGGATAGGGTTAAGCTCCCATGTATATGCGGACATGTGTGTCCTTCTACCCTTGCCTCTATAAGTAACTATTGATGGTAAATGTCAATGTCAGTGGGTGGCTATCTTGGAAATTTGACTCAAGTACGTTCAAAATCCAGAACTCCTATTTTTCGTTCTCGAGATATTCTTTTCCTGAGGGTTATTAAAAATATCAAACTTTTATCGACCCATAAATAAGTTTAAACACCCCCTTCCCCCCTGCCCAACATCTCTCCCTCCATTC